GTCAAAACATTTTTTAGGGTTTAGAATTTTAAAATATAGGCTTTATAAATATAATTAGTGGCATTTTTGTAAATGGACATCCCTAAATGACATTTTTGCAAATATGCACACAAAAAGTTGCATTTTTGTAATTATTCCAAGAAACTTCCAATTTCAAAGACGGTTTTTTTACCAGCTACAAACCTTGGTTCTTGTCATGGTACTTACTGTGCTTCTTTACTTCAATTCACAGATTGGATCACATGTTTTAGTTAGATCATTCTTCTTCTTAATTCCTAACCAGAAAGTTCTTGGTCCGAATATCATCCAGATGAAGGATTCAATACTCTTCTCTCAACTCAACAGGTGAATCTCTCTCTCATTTCTTCATCCAACATTTGTTATCTAATATACCTAAATCTGTGTTTAATACTTCTCTAGACAAAGCTATACAGAGAGGATTGGATGGGTCTAATATCTCTCATTGTTGCAGGAAATTCTTCTGATGCAGAGACCATAACGTTGTCACAAGTCTCTAGCTGATGTTTGCAAGGAAAGAGGTCTCGTCATGAATAATTTCGCCACAGAAAGCAAGGCCATGGTGCGAGATTTCTTCACTTTAAATCCCTTCAAATTCTTCTCATTTCTTTTACTTTGATATGTTTTACACTTCAAGTAATTAACATAAGAATTTTGACATGCTATACCAATTCCACTTGTAGGTCTACGTTGCTCCGGTCTAGTTCAAGTCTATACCAATTCCGAGGCTATAATTCCAACTTATCCGAGACTAAATCTCTCTATATATATAGATTAGCTATCCTAAGCCAACCCTATTAGAAGAAGATTTTAAATGGCCGAAATTAATTATTGAAACTTGATTGTTTTGCATAGTTGTGAAAATAATCCGAACATGGTATCTTGTCAGTTTTTTACTAATCGTTAAAGATCCCATGAACGCTTTGTTTCACTTCATAGCGTAAAACAATCAGTTTCTAATTAATATGGCAAATAAAATCTTCATACCTCTCAACCTGACCTCGATCCAAACCTCTTAGGTTTAAAAAAAAAGAGAGTAGATTGTCTTACATGAAGATTTTAGATAGCATAATTAATTATTGAAACTTGACTGTTTTGCACAGTTGTAAAAATAATCCGAACATATAATCATGTTAGTTTATTACTGATCGTTAGAGATGTCATGAACGTTTTGTTTTCACTTCATACGCAAAACATTCAGCTATGGCAAATAAAATCTTCATATCTTCCCATCTAACTTCAATCCAAACCTCTCAAAGAAAAAATTAAGAACGTTGTAAATGTTTATAATTGTATATATGTATAATTGTATAGATTGTCGGGTTAATTAATGAAACTTGACTATTTAACATAATTTTGAAAACAATCCAAACATAGAATTCTATCTATTTCTAATAAATTTGGGATTATATCTAAAGAGACTGGGTGTTGGAAAGACAAATTCAAATATTGTAGGAATTTTCATTGACTGAAAGCATCATGGAAATTTGTTTTTCAATTCTAGTAATGTGTTGTGC